GTTTGCACATCTCTGTTGCTTGTGGGGCTCGCACACAAGAATTTCACTCGCATGTGCTGTGCCAGTGTGCCTGCACATGTGATCTGACAATAAAAGTGATTTGATTTGATTTGATTTGATTTGAAACTGCTGATCCACTGGGGCTTTCCTGCACTAACCTTTTTGGTGTTTACAGAGGACGGCCTGGACAAGAGATAATATGCAGTGAATTCACTTGGCAAAAGTGTCTTGTTGATGCTGGGAGTCAGAGGAGAATTGCCAGACTGTTTCCAGCTGTTAGGAAGGCAACAGTAACACAAAAAGCCACTTGTTGCAACCAAGATATGCAGAAGGCATACCTTAAAGGCACAATTGGGAACCACTGCTGTCAGCTATGAGCAGGAAACTGAGGTTACAATTCACACAGGCTCACCATTATTGGACAATAGATCATTAGAAAAATGTTGGCTTGTCTGACCCTCAATTTCTCCCACAACATTCAGATGATATGGTCAGAATTTAGGTAAACAAATATGAAAGCATGGGTCCATCCTACCTTGTGCCAACAGTTCAGACTAGTGGTGGTATAAAGGTGTTGGAGATATTTTATGTGGGCTCCTTAGTATCAACTGAGCACCACAGAGCAACACCACAGACTGCCTGAATATTGTTGCTGACCATGTCCGCCCCTTTATGACCACAGTTTACCCATCTTCTGTTTTCTTGATCATTACAATGAGTCCAATGTCCTCAAATGGCCTTTGGGATGTGGTGGGATTAGGGGTTCGGCATCACGGACGTGCAGCTGACAAATCTGCAGCAACTGTGTGATTTTATCATGTCTATATTGACCAAAGTCTCTGAGAAACATTTCCAGCACCTGACTCTATGCCATGAAAATTTCAGGGAGTTCTGGAGGCAAAAAAGGGGTCCAATAAGGTGTACCTAATAAAGTAGCCAGTGAGTGTATATTATGGGTACTTCAACCTAGTACAGGTGATCATATCTTATGAAACCGTTGCATGTTTTGTGTGTAAATTGTGAATCTAAAACATTTAAATACATAAAAGAACCATATTTGCTTTTTGAGTGCAAATATAAAAAATAAATTAAATGTCAGCACTCAAGTTTTTAAAACTGTGCAGCCGTATATCAAACGCCCAGAGTTACATTTCACTGCGCAGAGGACTGACACTCTATTAGGGCTGTATTTGGGCTGCCACACCCGAAAGCCTCATTCACAAGATTGATTTCAGCACTCAGGAGCACATCCTCTGATTCCCTTCTTCTAATAACGGAACAGTTCTGTTTTTAATCAGCAGGTGGTGATGTTGCCTTCTTAGCTGGTCAAGCAGCACTGTGATTTCATTTGTGATTCAACATATTGGGTTGCTGCTCAGCCAGTCTAAATATTCTGTTTGCTGATCCTCCTCCGAGACACAAACACACAGATTAAACCGCAGAATTTAATCGTCTCTTTGTAGGGTTCAGAGACCGTGATCTTCCCCTGTGAGCGGTGGCTCGCCAAGTCAGAGGACGATGGAGAAACGGTGAGAGAGCTTGTGCCCTCTGACATCATCACAGAGAAACTTTCAAGAGATGGAAGCCTGAAAGTGACTGAAGTCGAGGTGGAAGACGCTCTGGAGAGTATGTTACCTGCTGGCTGCATCATTAGAAACACAAAAACGATTTGTCATCCTGTCTTTTTATCTGCCCTTCTGAGCATTAGTTTGGAGACAGTTTTCCCTTCTGGTCCTTTATACCCCCAACTAAGTCTCTGTTATGACAGCAGCATCAAACTACAATGCAAAATTGCTTCATTTTCAATCTATTTCCTGGCAGCAGCCTCACACAAAATCCCCTGCCTGTCTGTCTGTGATCACTGTCTCCCACTACAGCCCACACATACAAAGTTTCCGTGATGACAGGTGACGTGTATGGAGCCGGCACTGATGCCAACGTCTTCCTCACCATTTACGGGGACCTGGGGGACACCGGGGAGAGAAAACTGAGCAAGTCGGAGACAAACAGCAACAAGTTTGAAAGAGGATCTGTAAGAAAGCTTGAACTTTGTGACCTTTTTCAAGTCTTGTCTCCTACACTGTAGATATATATATTCCAGATTACAGAGCAAAAAAGAAGTACACAACATTGATGTTATTTCCTGAATGTTTCTCTTCTCCCAGGTGGATAAGTTCACTATAGAGGCAGTAGACCTCGGTCAGATTTTCAAAATAAAAATTCGCCATGATAACAGTATGGTGAGTCCTGACTGGTACTTGGATCAGGTGGAGGTGCTGGACATTGATACAGAAGAGGTGTTCCTCTTCTTATGTGAACGCTGGCTCTCCAAGAAGAGAGAGGATAGACGCATCCAAAGATACTTTTATGTCAAGGTAACATGAACAATCTAAAGTGCTACTTCTTACATGAAAGAGGTTTTGATATACTGATTTCTTCTATTTCTTACACTAGTTGAGCACAATTAACGTAATGTCCTCACTTCTAGCTCCATATTTTTATTCTTAGATGTTTTTACAATAGCAAAAAAATAATAACTGCCCTTCAGTTCATTTACAGACCAAATAAAAGCCATTTTAGCGCCCTTTTATTCTCATTGGCAGCCCCTCAATTACAGAGAACAGCAAGTGGGTGGGGTTTCTGTGCTCACAGCCGGACCTGTGTGCCTGAGAAGACCATATTAGGGAGATCTTCTCCCAACAACAGAGCCAAGAGTAAAAAATAAATGAATTTGAAAAGTTTGAAATTCACATCAGTGTTTGGCTCATATGAATTACTTGCACATATGCTGACCTCATTCTTTGAAACTTTGGCTGTATAAGCGCATTTACCACTGTAACACAGAGCCCTGCTGTATATGTTACATAACATGAGAAAAAGTGTGACAGATCCACTTTAAAGTGAATGGCGGTTGATCACCAAAGTGACTAGGATTCATTTTTTGTTCTTTCGTGGCACACCACCTGAAATAATTTCAGCACCTTTTTGAAGTCTTTGTAAAACATTTAGTGGCTTAGCATCGACTTGGGTCTGTATCTCTGCAGATATGGCTGCTGCATCACTAAGTGTCCGTTCTGTTTTCTCAGGGTTATGAAGGAGTTCGAGAGAGCTCGGCCAGTGAAAAGAAGAACTTGGCTCTAATGCAGAAAAGCGTCGACAATAACATGAACAAGAAGAACAAGAAGAAGAAAGAAGAAAAAATTGATCTTCCAAGTAAGAAAACTCAAGTCTCTTCTGCACTGCTAGTTCACCTGATGCTCTCTCATGTGTTTGTTGTTAATCCCTTGAATGCATCAAATGAACGAATAGTTGCTCGGCCCTTTCTATGCAGTCATACCTTATCACATCACCATCTACACTGGACTGGAGAGGGATGCGAGCACCACCAGCAGGGCTTATGTCATCATTATCGGGGCTAATCACACCCAGACAGATAGGTTGTGGTTGGACCTGCAAGACGGGAGGAAGGGCTTTGAGGCCGGCTCTCTGGAGAGCTTCGAGTCCCACGGTTCAGATGTGGGGGAGATCAAAAAGGTTGAGGTGAGTGACAGGTGAATTTATTTCACTGAAGATTTTGCACTAACATAGCTTCTCACACACACACACACTGAAACACACAGAAAAAAATACACCCACGTTCCTGGCAGTGATTGTTTCTCTCCTTCCTGCAGCTCGGCCATGATGGGGCCACTCCAGAGAGCTGCTGGCTGGTTGATGAACTATGTGTTGCTGTGCCAACCAAAGGGGTCAAATATATATTTGCTTGCAAGTGCTGGCTGGCCAAAGATCGAGGAGATGGGTTGACTGCTAGAGTATTCAATGTGCTGGACTCAGAAGCCATTTCTATCTCCCATAAGGTCTGTAAATGTAGACGTGTTATTGAAAGCAAAGCCATGTTGCAGGCAACATACATACATCATAGTGTTACTGAGTTAAATTAAGACAAGAGAATAATTTAGAAAGTACAAAGTAGTAAACTTACCATAGTACATGTATAATAATATATAATAAGCTGTCCACAAGAGGACATCATTTCCACTGATTTCAAGACATGAAAACACCTCACATTGCACAGAGGTTTTTGCAAGCTGAGGCTCTACTAAGCAGGAGGGTTATCATTAGTGACTGTCAGAGCCGTGATTCAGGATAAAACGAAAAGCAACAGCATGACAACAGTGTCTCAGGCAGCTGAAGGGAGACTGTGATAAAGAACAGGAGGAAGATCAAGGCCCTCCATGGGGTCTGCCATCAACAGACTGAAGAAGTAGAAATTAAGAAATCCTTTCAGTGTCTAGAGAAAGCTGGCCTAAAGGACAGCACAGATGGTGATCACGGCAGCACAGGAGCAGGACCTAAGCATTAGCTCCATAGAGAGAAAACCTAGTGGCTAGGATGGTGTAGATGAACACCTGTGTGGCATATAGAGAAGTCCACAAGCCCTGATGGGAGACACCTCCAGAGGTAGTTGAGAGCAACATGGCGAAGGTCCTATGGGACTTTGACTGTCACACAGGCGCAGCTTCTGGCCAACCAGCCAGACATCATGGTGGTTGACACGCACAGAAGACAGCAGTTGATGTGAAAATCCTAGCAACATCAGGATTTGTGTTTGCCAAACTGGACTCTAACCAGGGGTGGGCAACTCCAGGCCTCGAGTGCCGGTATCCTGCAGGTTTTAGATCTCATCCTGTATACACACACTTGAATTAAATGATTAGTTAATTACCAGGCCTCTGGAGAACTTCACGACATGTTGAGGAGGTCATTTAGCCATTTAAATCAGCTGTGTTGGATCAAGGACACATCTAAAACCTGCAGGACATCGGCACTCAAGGCCTGGAGTTGCCTACAACTACTCTAAACCATCAGCATCCATCTACACGATGGTTTAGCTCCTTTATATTTCACTGGTGCACAGAACAGGAGTTCTTAGCCCAGATATTCACAACTGTTGCTACACTGGAAGCCCCAAAATATTGGCTGTCACCTCCCTTTTCATGGCATAGCTATTAAATAACCAATGTCTGCATTTGTGCTTATTTTATCACTGTTTACAACCTTAAAATGACTGAATTAATTCGTATGTGCTCGTCCAGTGAAGCTGTAGATGTACTTGTGGGAGCATAGTATTGTTTGATGTCTGATAATCTTTCCATGTTAGATTATCTATGAGGTGACAGTGGTAACCGGAGATGTGCAGAATGCGGGAACAGACACCCAGATCTTCATGACTGTTTTTGGGGCCAACGGCAGTACAGAGGAGATGCTGCTGCAGAAGAATGAGGACAGGTAGCATCAATGATTTCTATTTTCATTCATGTATCTAACTGTAAAATAAAGAGAGGACCAATTCATACTCAAGATTCTAAACTTTGTGCTTTGATGTGGTGGTGAACAAAAGGTTTGAGCGAGGTCAAGAGGACACCTTTAACATGGAGATCGATGACGTTGCCCCACTGAGAAAAATGCGACTCCGGATAGATGGATCAGGCAGTCGGCCCGACTGGTTTCTTGACAAGGTCGGCTCACCAGGCACACAGATACAATGCAGTCATTTAGAAGATGTTTATTTGGTAAAAAGGGTTTAGAAAGAACCCCCAGGAACAGCTAGAGCAAAAGGGAACGTGTGCAGATTGAGCTCTTTAGTAATATCATGCATAGAATTTTTTGTTCTTGTCGAGGCCTAATTTGTTATAAAGAAGAAACTGCAGATCTCAACCATAAAACATAAAACCAGCAACATAAAAAGCAGAAGAGTAATCGCTATCTCATTCCAAGATCAATAGTACAAAGCACTCACAGGCTTGTGTTTTTTTATCCTGGCACCACATGCTGTAGGTCACAGGATCATTCAATCTATTATATGGCACAGACAAATACACACACACACACACACACACATCTACCCCCGCCTGCAGGAGAACGGTCAATGATTCAACCACACACAAAGACACAGGCAACAACACACACAAACACACACACAGAGCAGGGCCCAGAACTCCTGGAGTGAGCATATTGACCCATTTTATTCTCCGTGCCGCTGTTGCTTGAATCACGGACACGCTCTCTCTTACAGTACGCACACGCTACAAATGAGCACCATGTTTGGCCTCGAGAGAGAAATCATTTCATCTTATATATAAATTAATTTACAGAATACTAGTGCAACATATTGGAATTGACTGCCTCAGTACTGAAAGATTTTTTTAAATGATTCTGTGAGGATGATATCACTTCCCACCACTAAATTTAGTGTGAAGTCTCAGGCTAAAGCTTTTGATGAAGTAGAACACATTTCCTATGCAAATGTCTTCTCTACTAAATGCACCATGCCTGTAGGGCGGCAGAGCAGTCAGAAACAATACAAAGCCCTGTCCATCCGTGCCCGAGTCTCAGCCGCTGTGAACATCTCCTTGACTTGACCCTGAACAGAGCCTTGTGTGTTCAGCATCACAAGCAGATATGCTGCCTTTATGGACAGGTCGTCGCCTTGAAACTGACACAATGGTGCACCAGGTGGACTGCCAGCATAGTAATCTGTCCAGATAAATACGCAGAAGGGAGAGCTAATAGATGTCTGGCTGATTCTTGGCCTAACAGAGAAGTTTTTTCCTGTTATTAGAAACTAGAAACCTTCAGAGAGGCAGGATTAGTGTACCTGCTGGTAACACAGTAGTCATCCAGCCATAATATGACACAGCATTCAATACACTAGTACTGCGGTTCAAGTAATAGCAATATCAATCATAAGTGAATGCATTACTATTGATGATGCCCTGAACTTTCATCTGCAGGTTGATATTTATACTCCTGTTGTAATACATCACATCACAGCAGCATTTATTACTGTTAAATCTTACCTTTAATAATTATAATGCAATCTTCCAAATGCTTTGCTAATTTATAAGCTAATTCTGTGCATTCAGGTGATCATGCGTAACCTGACCACGGAGGAGGTGTCTGTGTTTACCTATGAAGGGTGGCTGTCCAGGACACATGGACCCAAGAGGACACTGATCTGTGAGATGGCAGCTGTGGTGGACGAGGAGGTGATGGTGGAGGTCACTACCTACATTGTCCAGGTCAAGACAAGTGACGTCGCAGGTAGGTTCTCAACCCAGCTCTGTGGTCCCATTCGAAATATGCAGTACTTGTCCAAACATACATGGAAATCTTCAAGGTGTCCTTTTATGTTTGAATGAGTCATAGATCAATGTTAAATGATTCAAACAAACAAACAAACAAACAAACAAACAAAACCTTCCTCTGAAATTTCAAGTATAATCAGGTCAAGCATGATGACTGGACTGCCCAGTGTCCAAAGAAAAACTTTGAAAGCTCTTCATAAATTCAGGAAAAGCATTTTTCAAAGTGCTTTTGAAAAATACAGGAAAGTCTGACTCTTTGGAAGCAAAATATGAAGATATGAGGGACAACTTTAATGAGGGAAGGGATTTTGCACATATGCTAGATAATTATTTGAAAATTTGTCTGTGTTTAATATGAGAACCCATCATTGCAACATGATATATGTGACAGAAGAAATGAAAAGCATAAAAGCTTCTTTCAGACACTGTTTTTTAAACTAGTTACAGGTTGCCAATATTTGTTGTGGCCATTTTAAGATTCATATTGTTTGATCTGAACATGTTTAGGGGCTTGACGATATCAAATGATTACTTATTCACAAGCAAATAGGTAAGATTGGAAACATGAAGCACATTTTTTCTGTAACAGTCCCAATACCCAGTTTTGATTGCACATATCTTAATGTGTCAACATAAAACCAAATAATAACTGAAATGTTGAGGTCTGAGCTGTGGGGTCAGTGAGGGCACTCTAAGTATACTTAACAGGCCTATGAGCATTCCCTGTCCATTCGGCCTTTATTCTCTGGGTTCAGGGGTGCTGAGACTGAGCAGAGTAGACATCCTCTTTCATCAGGAACATCCTCCAGCTCTTCCCGGGGGATCCTGAAGGACTCTGTGGTCAGCGGACACATTTAATTTGTCAAGCGTTTCCTGGATCACATCCTCATCATCTGTTTTTCGGACCACTTTCAAAGGATACACCAGAGAGTATTCTGCATTTGAGCACCTGCGAGTGGCTCTATACTGTGAACATCCTGTGAAACCCTCCCCATCAAAGCCAAACGAGCTGCTGCCTGGAAGAGACTAATTACTGTATGACTGCCATCCCGTGTTTTCAGTCACTACCCAAAGATCAATGCAGAGTTAGAGCCTCATTTTGCCTGCCCTTGTGCAGGGGTTTGTTGTTTTCCTAGGCAAAGGCAAAGGTGGAATAATTCATGGCTGAATCCCTCGTGGCAATTAAAGAGATCCTCTTCAGAAGCCCTCCACACCGCTGCTCCATCTTTTCTTCACCCTGGGTTTTCATCTAGCTCAGTTGCTCTGCTGATCAATACGATCAGAATAGCAAGAAGTCTGAGCCGACTTCAAAGGGCTGCTCTCTGCCACTGTCAGTTACTGGAAGCTGACATGTAGCCTTGCACCGCCACTAAGGCTCTGGGAGGAAAAAATGAGCAAGGCTGATAGATGCAAACACACCCACAAACAACATCACATAGGCAGAGCTGTTCCTATGCACGTATACTATAAAGAGGTACTGAAGATCAAGTGTGTGCATTAGAATATATGTCACATAAGTTCCATATGTTACATGTAACTTTAAAAATATCCAGATCTCAAAAATTGCCAGCGTGATAATTTCTTATTACAACTGCTGGATTGTTAAATGATCAACATTCTTGCCTACTCTACAGAAGAGAGTTTAAGCAAGGACACTGAAAACATGCTGCAGGCTGAGTGAGGTTTCACTCAGGATCTAACCGACTGTGATAAAATAATAAAGCACAGGGGGATTATAGATGCGCTGTATGAGTCAGAGAACCCAGCTCTCACTGCTCCCCAGTTTACTTTTCAGGTGGTGATTTGCTATTGCTGTACAGCCTTTTTACTGCCATACAACTCTTTGATATAGCTTAATTGCTTTGCACGTATATAATTAGAGCTAGCTCGAGTGACAGTAAATCATTTTTATTATAGTTAATTGCATTCAGTGACCATGTAGACTGGGAAGCTGTGACTTTATAGACTAAAATCCAAGCAAAGTTCTGTCCATGGTTCCACCCATGTTTATTTAAAAGTGTAACCAAACCAAGAAAAATCCCTTATTATTGTCGAGGATTTTTTTTTTCTAAATAGTAAACTGCTGCATCTCTTCAGGGGCAGGCACTGATGCCAACGTATGGATCATTATTTTTGGAGAGAACGGGGACACAGGAACACTGGCGCTGAAAGAGTGCAACAAGTCCAACAAGTTTGAACGCAAGCAGGTGGACACGTTTCGCTTCCCAGAAATCCTCAGCATGGGAGACCTCTCCAAAGTACGAGTCTGGCACGATAACACAGGTCAGCTGCTCTAACTGGCACGGTGAACAGCTTAGACTGAGCTCAACTGTTCTTAGAATGAAAAGTTTGAAAGCACTGCACACTGGTATTTTTTGCATCTCGTTACATGCAGGTATTGCTCCAGGCTGGCACTTGGAGTATATTGATGTGAAGGACGAGATCATGGACAAAACATTTCGTTTCCCCTGTGACCGCTGGCTTGCCAAGAACGATGATGATGGACAGATAATGAGAGAGCTGGCCTGTGCTAACAATGACTACTTGGACCTCAATGAAAAGACCAGTAAGGCTAGCACCTCACAGCATTCAATTATCCCCCCTTGTAGTTTAGTGCAACAACATTTTACTGTAACTGAGTCTCCTTTTCTCTATGACAGAGTATGAAATTTGTATCACAACTGGAGACACAGCTGAAACCAAGGAAAATGCCTGGATTGTACTTGAAGGGAGAAAGGGTCGATCAAAAGAATTTGTAATGGAGAACTCCTCAAAGAAGAAGAGGTTCTTGCGGTAGGTACTTGCTGCAAGATTAACTCAGTCACCGGCAGCTTGTTTGCATGAAAAAGAAATGTGCTTTCTCTCCCTCTGCATCTCTCTCTGCCCTCATGATGATTATCCAAAATACTTAAGACCAGACCAGCACCGCACTCTGATGTCATGACTACACTCCATCCTGTTAAAGATTAATTCTGACACAGAACAAACTGGCAGTGATGTGAATTTCAATTAACGCAAAGCAATTTAAGGGAATAGCTACTAGGGCTGGGCCATATCATACCGTTCACGGTAATACCGGTATAATGTTGGGCAATGACAAGAAAATGAAATATCGCGATAGAATATGGGTAAAACGCGCATGCGCAGTGCCTTTGTTTTCATACGCACATGGCGAAAAAGGCACGGCGGCGACGGAGAATGACATGGGCGAAAGCGGATCGTTGAATGAAAAGGATGAACCAGAATTGGTTTGTAAAAATGCTGCAACTTCAGTGATGTAGAACTGGTTTAGCTTTCGTCCGTCAGATACACAACAAAGCACTATTTTTGGTAGAGCGTGCCAGCGGGCCGTCGTTATTACCATGTTTTTTGGAAAATATGGCACACTTAAAATCAATCCTTTGATTTTTCTGAAAATCGACACTGCCTCTTATAATACCGTGTGCCTTATGTTTGGATTCTGGTTGTGTTTACTGACTGATGTTTTAGTACGACTT